CCTTACCCATGCGCTAGGAACAACAACGAGGTCGAGCTTGGGGAATCGAGAAATGGGCACTTGCAAGGCCTAGGGTGCCTTTGTTATGGGAGAGCCTCGCGTTCCCCGCTCCACGCTGCACACGCCAGCCGTAAAAAAGCTTCGTCAGTGGATGTCAGTGGTGCAACTAGTCCAAGCACGTCGTTCATCGATGAAGTGGAGAATTGCCGGCTGATCGCTCGGAATACCACATGTAAACCTAAGCCCGGAGCCCTAGATTTCCGAATTCTTGCGAGCTAATGATGCCGATGTGGGTGGGGGTGCGGGAGGGGGAAGGATCGGTTTTCGATGCGTCGAGTGTCTTATTGTAAGCGTTCCCTACTTTCAAAATGGTGATCATCTGCGGGTCCGCATCGTCTGGATTATCGCTAAAATATACTCCGTCGTACTTCGTGGGTTAGCAGAAAGCAACAGTCGTCAAGCTCGAGGGAACTTTGCTCCGAGAAAACACGCTCCATCGTCGTCCTGCCGCAGTGTCGCACGCCTAAGATACTCTTATGAATCAAGTATGTGTTCACAAGACGATCTTGCAACACTACGCCACTAAGCCGTCACTGTGCCTCATGATTGCCGTTGGCTCGAGATTTGCTTCACATTGCAGTATGCCTGTTTCAAAACACGCCACTTTGCAAGATGATCGTGTTTAGAAAGCCGGTATTGCGTTAGAAAGCTACTTGGAAGTCAAGGCGGGTACGTATACCTATGAAACTAACCCCGAATCTTGACTTGGTCATAAGCATGCAGGGCCGCCTTGGGCTTATTCTGTTTGTGCTGCCAATCAAGCTTGCAAACTCGGAGTTCGAGGGTTGCGAAGCTACAGTGGCGCACTGCATCGTGGGGCATGTTCGGAGCTTCACTCAAAGAGACTGGGCCCAGTCTTGGGTTTAGGGTTTAGGAGTTTAGGGTTTAGGGTACTCATAGAGACTGGGCCCAGTCTTGGCCCTGTCTTGTCTTTACTTCAGATAGCAGCTAGGACCGCTAGGATCTAGGTAGGGCATCTCCGGTGATGTCTTAGTAAGAGTTGTCATAGGCACTGTAAGGGCCTTTGCCGGTGTCCAGTTCGGGGCTCAGGAGACGTCTACAGCTCAATACATGAAACACTGGCATCCCGAGCTTCGTCTTTGAAGTGTGCTCGTTTCTTTTACGTGCTGGGCATGTCCTCCGAGTCTGACACCTCCAAGGGTGGGAGATATGACTTCGAGGTCGCGACTCTCCAAGCTACGGCCTGGCAACTGATGCCTCCTACGGACTTCATCTTGGATCCGGCCATTCCCAGAATTCAGAGGAATGCCTCCTTTCACCATCCTTCCTGCCTGTTCCAATGTGTGCACATGTTCGACAAGGTCCGTGACTGCTTCGCTTTGGTAAAGAAGTTCGAGGAAGACACCGGTCATGCATTCTCTTGGATTGTGCGGAGTCGACCGGATCTGAAATGGCATGCCGACAAGACGCAGCTGCCTGCCTTGCACCAGCTTCCCCTTTCTGCCGTCTATTTTGCGGAGCTTGTCAAGGCGCCAGGAGGCATCTTCCGAGATCCGGTGCAAATTGTGCCTCGGAGGTTTGCTGAGGATATCTTTGACCGAATCTTGGACCGATGTCTCTTGAGGCAGAACTTGCGCGATGATGACGTTTGGAATTGTGACACCTGGTTGGTCCAGCTCTGTGAGGAAAGGGATATTGCCATCCGATATTTGCGACTCTACGCGGTCATCGAAAGATTGCCAAGTATCGAGGATAGCTTTCATACCTATCATGATCAATGGAGTCAGCATGTGAAAAATGCAGAGCTCCTGTTTCCCAACTCTACATTTGTCATAGGAAACGAAGATCAGAAGCATGCCTCTCAGTGGTCGAACATCACCGCTGGTCTCCCAGGAAGAGCATCTTGGCTCTTGTGAAGGAAGTTACAAAGATCCTACATAATACGCCGATGGGGATTTATAGTAGATAAGATGTGCTTCCTTATCATGGGCACTTAAACTAACTTCATTTAGACGAATCCAGGCATTCGCAGATGTGGGTTGCAACCTCGTGGCTGACTCTCAGTACTGCACGCCTACGAATGCATATCTCATCCACTTGCGCTTGGCTCTTTACGTCCCGGCCGCCAATAGACAGCAGCAGATCAAGTTTGTGCTCTTCCGAGCATATGGCCGCGATATTCGGTTTCAAGGGCGGCACTCAAGGTTCAATGCAAACGCCACCGCGTTTTGGCCGCTGTTTACGCTACCCTATAATCTGATCGAGCTAGCAAAGGGGGTTCCGTCGGAGAATGCCGGAATTTCTTACAACCTCTTTCGCCCGGTCTTGATGCGAAGAGGCGACTGCATCTTTTGGACAGCCTGCGCAGAAGACGAGGCTGAGGATTTGCCGTCCGAAGCCTTGGACTACCCAAAGAGGCGTGTAGCTTCACGCTGCCTGCTGCGTCGAAGAGTGGAACGGATATATACTCGTAGTAGCGAGCCTATGGGCTCCTTCCAGCCGATCATTTCCAGGCGTGAGCTTCAGAACATTAGAGGGTTTAGGGTTTAATTTTTTTTCGGGTTTAGGGCCCCTTAGTATCCAACCCCTAAGCCATCACAGCAAAAAGCCCTGATCATGGGGAACCCCGGCCCGAAAAGGAGGGATTTTCCGGAAAAAACCCAGGTATCACAGCGCAGCTTTTACGCTCTTCAAGCAAGTGCCGCCTTTGTGAGGAAGCCTTTCGGTCGACTTGTTTAGGGTCCAGGGTCCAGGGTTTGGGGTTCAGCGTTCAGGGCTTTGGGTTTGGGGTTCCATGGGGTTTAGGGTTTGGGGTGCAGGGTTCAGGGTGTAGGGTTTGGGGTGCAGGGTGAAGTTTTGGGGGTTTCAAGGTTTGGAGTTTAGGGTTTGGGGCTTGGAGTTCAGGGTTTAAGGGTTAAGTTTGGGTTTAGGGCGGTTCAAACTTTTGAGGGCCTTGAACCCTACCTACACTCGGGGTTTTGGAACAGTTGGGCTCCCCTTATAAGAGGTCTAGGGATCATTTGTAGCAAGGATCCTGCAAGGTTTAGGGTTTAGGGTTTTGCTTTCAGGCTCCTCTTTTTTCTGAAGCCCGGCTATGCGCAGTCCCAGCTCTGCGGGCACTGGACCTCTTGCGCGTTTGGAGCCTCCAATGCAAGCGGCACCAAGGACGAGTCTATTGTAGGGGCCTTAATAATTTAATATTTACATACAAAATTTTAGGGATTCTTGACAACTAGTATTAAACTAATATACCCCCTAAACCCTGTTCTAACTATTTAATTCGGCCCCTCAGGAGCAGCGGTTTTACTGTCTGACCCGGCCGTGGATTTTTCTTTGCAGGGTTGAACCAAACGGATCCGGAGACAACTGGAACCTTGAAGAAGAAGTAGCTTTGGCAAATCGAGAGAAGAATGACCATGCCACAATGACCATGCCACTATGCATGCCGAGCTCCGACACGGTCCCCCACGGCGATCACAAAATCGACTGCGACATTGGAGCTGGCCTCTGCAATGTGCGACCGGTTCAAAGGTTAGCAGGGCTTGTGGCGCGCTTCAAGGGCGACAGGTTTTGAGCTCAAGAACTACAAGACTTAAGAATAGTGGGTATGCCTTATGCTGCACCACCCCCAAACATGAGTATCCTCACCTGCCTGGCACCTTTGCACTCGGCAGCCTTAGAACCCTCAGCCCGAATCCCCTAATCTGGCCCTCATCCCTGAACCATCCTGGACCCCAAAGCCATAAACCCTCAATCTCCAAATCCTAAACCCTAAGCCCACGCGCACACACACATACGTACATACGTAC